GCGCCGGAAAAGGACGTCCCATACGTGATCGGGCACTGAGCAACCCGGCAATTTTCTTCAAGAAAAATTTGCTTAGGGGTTTTGGGCTCAGCTGCATAGTTGAATCGCGCCTGGGACCCTTATATCTGAAGATCTCGCTGGCCCATATTTGCATAAATTAACAAAGGTATGAAGACTTGTACCACTGGGAAAAGTTCCTCGAAGAACTCGAACTAAAAATTCATCAAAAGCTCGTCCGCCACATATGGTGGACATGGTCCAAAGTGGACCAGTGTCCGCCACCAGTGGTGGACATTATGGGTTAAGGGGATGGGGCGCAGAATGCATTCATACATTCGTGCAAATCAAATCCGACAATCAGTTTTATAATTCACTATCGACTGTAGAAAGCAAATGAACCTCAAAATAGAGTAGGCCTCTCCGTGATTCCAGAAGATATGCCACTTTCGCGGTCTGAAAATTCGTGATGTTCAATTTCCCGCTCCCCCCCCCTCCCCCTTCCCAAACTCAACATTTGAATGTTGAATTCGTCCCGCCCAACGCCCCATACCCCATGTGCAGTTAATTGATAATGGTGCTGCTGTTCAGCTACTATCCCTTTCCACGTCGAATGGTAAGGGTCAAATCGGAGAAGAAAACAGCCGACATCGTTCTGGTATCAGCTGGTGAGAACTCGTCCATGCAGCCCTTTGTTACCGTATTCTCGTACAGGTTAATACCGGCACTCCGGCATCCTACTTAGGACGTCCCGAAAGGTTTTTTCTCCTTTTTCCCCAAATTTAGTTAACTGCAACCTTGTCATTGGTGCTCGATCCCATTACCCATCATTTTTGGGCCCGCAACGTGCATTTACCTTCAGACAAGGTGAACTTGAATTCAGAGACACTGCGTTTTCGTCGTACTTGGTGAGTATAACGGTATCTTTTATTGTGGTCACAACAAAATAATGCGACTTTCACAACAATAAAACGCATGTTTTTACACAAAGTTGATTTTGGCTCTCAGTTCATCGGAGGTTATTTGCGGTGCATTGAGTACAGTCGTCCATCAAATACCACCATCGGTCGGACTGCGGATCGATCTGGTGGATATTTGTAGTCTCTATAAAGAATAACTTTATTAAGCTAGTGAATATTATTGGAAGCGCTAGCGTACCTGTATAAGACATCAAGGCGAGGAGGTTGAAAGTTAAGCATCGTGCGCGCTACTACTTCCCTAAAACTAAAGTTATCTGCTTTTCCGTGGGAATGAGTGGGCTCATACCTGGGGGCCCACTGTATTACTGACCTCTCTTTGCCACGAATCATACGGAGACTTGGCATGTCAAATGCGAAGCAACTTGAGAGAAGTGAAAGCAAGGATACCAGAAGTCGAGTCACAGTGACCATCTGAAAAGTGCGATTTACTATGATAACAAAGAAGGCGAACATTTATAGGACGTAATCAATCGGACTACTTTCGAACAGAAGTGAGTGCGAGGCGAAAGGACAAAGGAAGAAGAGGAAGACACTTAAAAGCTTCACGACTTCATTAAATAAACGAGTAGGGACATTGTACTAACGATTAGGTTAAGTCCACCACTTAATGTAGGTGATCTACGCAAATAACACATAATTGCTTAACTGGGTGGGCTGAAAGGGAGAGGAACTCTTGATTTATAACTGGTACCGTGTTTTCCACACGGGGTATTGTTCATATGGTTCTTCATATGAAGGTCCGGCGATAGATTATTTCTTACAATTCCCCACTAGGCACAAACGAGGCCATTTGGCAGAAGGTTTATGTCCACACAAACGAGGCCATTTGGCAGAAGGTTTATGTCCAAAGTGAATGTCTAGGGTGCCCTTACATGGTCACTCTACGCGAAATAAACAATAAACAAATAAACTTCAACTTTCATGAAAGAGTGTGTCTCTTTTGACCCCCCCCCCTCCCTCCCTCCCCTCACCATAGAGAAACTGCCCGCGAGCAGGTGATCAGCGAATTGCCTCTGTGCATTTGGCATCGTTGTCCGCACTCGCAGAGAATATACCACTTTCGTCACTTGAAATGGCGAGATAACGAAGCTAGAGACGCGCGAGTTTTGCAACAGGTGCAACCGCGTACTGTAACTGTAAGGCAACGGCTAGCAAACTGAATGGGTACTTAGTGTTGCCTGGAGCGTCGTAGGACGATTTCCTATGCTCTTGCCGGCGACTGGCTACACTATGGATCCTGCTGATTGGGTTTGTCTGACGTCCGAAAACTCGACCAAAACGCCGGCTCCACTGCAGGGGTTCTCTGCTCAGGGTGTTCTCATACTGTATACTCGCTTCTTTTTCTACTGAGAAGATACTCATGAGCTACTGGTTCATGATTGAGCGCCGGCTGAAATTCTTTGAAGTGTGCATGAAATTCTATAAAGGATAATAGGATGAAACTGTTGCCATTAGTAAAGGTACGCGCTAATATCGAGTTCCCCTTCGGAGTAGCATTGGCATTTCGATTAACTTGCAGAGTCAACCGATGTACAAATTTGTATTACTTGTTATCCTGGATAAATTTGGTCAAGTCAGCCAACCCCATCCAGAAGATTTGGTGAACCAGGGCGTTGCTGAGTATTGACGCCAAGATAATGTGGTGCGTGTGGTGTGAGCACCACTACTTTCCAATTGTTTACTACACGGCTTACTCTTCAACAGTGACATGTCGTTATCACTGCTTTGGGACTAGCGTCAATTTTCTCAGAAGTCGAGGCATTTTCAATATCCATCACCGAATCAAAGGAAAAATGGTTTAAGTAGCGAATTGCAATCTATTATAGCTGTGGTTTGACTACAAGGTTTGAGCACGGTCACAATGTTGTAGTCGTGATTCAACAACAACAATCTGGTTTCACCCAACTGTTGTGTACAGTTGACTCTTAGTCTGCAGATCTGATTTTGGCAGCGTCCTTTAAAAGGTGCTCAGCACGAACTGCGACATTGGGTTGACCCATAAGTATGTAATGCCATTTTTTCTTGCAAAAATTTTTACACGCAATGTGAGAATGATTTCTAGTGCGTTCTATGCTGTTCGATAGTTGGTTTTCCACTCTGCAAGATAGTGTGATCGCCTTTCTACTACTTCTTGATTCCTATCAATATTTATTTGTCTTCATCATTCATCTTCGAGTTGCAGTTACTTTGCCAGACGTGTATGGTATATAGCAGTTTTTTTTGACGCGGCCAATTTTCCACCAATTGTTGTTCCCTGCCAGCTTCCACATTTGGCGGAGAACGGGTTGGCGCCGTGCCAAACCCAGCTTAAATCACACGTCACTGTATCCGCAGGGAACGAGACTGAAGGTTAATCTATTACTGGCGCCAAACTCTTCCCTCTTCGGCACGTGAAGACAGTAGGCACCACAAGTTGGCGCTCGAGCAGATACTACAAAATGAGGAAAATAGCGAAAAACGAAGTGAAACAGTTGGAAACCTGCGAAGGAAAGCCTTCGTTATAAATGGCACAAGAGTGAATTTCGGACGAGTTTTCCGTAAGCATCTTGCCAACAATTGCTACCGTAGGTATGCTTGCACGTATGCACTCAGATATTCAAGCAGCATCGCAGCCGCTTCACATCAGTGCCTTCGCTTCACATCTTGCTCAACAAATTAAGCAGCAAATGCACCAGGTTCGGTCGTCCGTTTGTGGGCGGGCGGGCACGATATGTTGCAGGTTGATAGAGCTTTATAGGGGCAACTTCCTTAACGAAGGCGCTACGCAGCGCCTGCTCAGGGGCGCGGAGTTCCGTTCTGCTGGGCATGTTAATCCTACTCCTCTCAGGGATTCATAGTACAAACTACCTTAAATATCGTACCGCCAAGGGCAGAGCCTTTGAATTACACATTGTCTGATTCACTCCCTCACTGCATAGGTCAAACCGCATTTCCTGCGATACCTGGAGAAAGCGCACTGCGCGCAAGGTCTCACGAAGAAATCTAACGACACAAAAACTTCACCGTCGTCATTTATACAAACTTATCCCTCACTACAATTAGATGCTTTTCACTGTTCTACGATTCCTTGAAAGGGAATGTTGTCCCCGATAAGACGTCGAAAAAATCGTAGGTAGCTGGGTTGAAAAACAAAAGTGAAAGTGCTAGCTGACTTACAGTGGTGATCCACGCAAACGATGGGTGTTCGACGCGGCGCGCTTAGGAGCGCAGCCAGGGCGGTCCCGTTCCAACCGTTATGTCACTCCGACTCTGCTACAATTGATGGAAAATCTGGTCTGGCTGCGTTCATGCCAGCCCCCGTCTTGCGCCCTTTCGTTTTGGGAGACCACTACTGTATACATGATGAGAAGGAGCAGATGGAGCCTTCGAAAAGGCCTCAAATAAGACCCTACAGTTCCAGGCGAGAGGCGAAGATGAAGATTTCCGGCGAGAGACTAGAAACGAGGAGAGCGAGAGCATGCAAACGAGCAAAACAACAGGCACAGCAGATAACAAGGCGGGCGGAGTCACTTGAGCAGCCCCGCTACCATTGACGCCCCTTACAACATTCTGACGTGCAATCGGGACAAGCGTGTTTATTATATCCCACTCAACCTTTCCCTACATAGAGCTTTGAATCATATAAGTAATCGCAAAATGTGCATTCAGTCCCATTCTTCTTGAAGTACGCAAAATAATGCATCCAATGGAGCGAATGCATAATTGGGGTGATGAAGTTCTTTTCAATGTCAATCCTTGGAGGGTTCCAGGACACGATTGAGGCTCGGTGACGTCATCACAGGGATCTTCGCCGTACGATATGAATTTCGTGACAGACAGACAGACAGACGCACACAAACACGCGAACACACGACATACTCTAGTGAATTATATGTAGTAGGATAGTCGCATGAGTTCATTTTCTAGTGTCATCAGGAGAGTGATGGCTAAAGGCAAGAATCAAGGCTAGTTGCCAACCAAAGACGAATCCAATGACCAAAGCTCCAATTATGGTCACCCCTGATGATATCACACCTGGCAGTCGAGTGAATACCTATAAAATACGTCGTGAGATGTTGAAGAAGAGCGGACGTCGCTGACAAAAAAAACTGAAGCGAGTTCACACACTGAGCCCCTAATAGACGGCATTATATAGCGGTAAAATGTGATAAAAATGTAGCGCAGACGGTATCTTATCTGATTTTATCGATTGATCCTCATCACTAAACCTTCATGATTTGGTAGCGTGACACCTTGAACAGCGACGACGACTGCAACTCCCTTATCAGCCCCTATCAGTAGTTATCGCTTCCAGTCACCCACGGTTGATGTCCCCATCTCACCCTCTACACTTGCTGAAACGTACGCCTCGCTGATGCTGTGACCTGCGCTGTGAATACGATGACCTCACCTTTCTAACACCCCTTATCGAATCTTATCAGCAGCTTACAGTTCTTGTCACCCACCAATGATGTCACACAATGATGTTTATACCCTGTATCATATCTCAGAATCAAGAGCTAGCTGATGCTGTCACCCGCGTTATGAATATGGTGACCTCCCCCTTCTAACGCCTCTTATCGGATCTTATCAACTGATATCACTTCCTGTCACCCACCAATAGTGTTCCCGTCACACCCCCTACATCACTTCTTGGAACCAATGTCTCACTGCTACTGGGACCGGCGCTATGAATTTCGTGACAGACAGACAGACGCACACACACATGGACAGACATACTTAGTGAATGTCCTCATCACTAAAACTCCATGATTTGGTAGCGTGAACCACCTTGAGTAGCGACGACGACTGCAACTATTAGTAGGATTATTAATAGTAGTTGGGCTAATAGTTGAATAGTGTAGTAGGATTCTGGGCAACTCCTGTGATTGGCCGAATTTTCAAGGGTGCTGAACACATGTTTTCTGCCATAAAGTGCAGAAGGGTTTGAAAGAACATTTCGTCATCCACACCAATTTTCATGCTGGAACGAAACCATCATTCAAGACACCCAGTGGAATATTGCCTAAGTGCACCTGATTTATATAATACGATTAAGGTGGTCATGTGGCTTGATTCGATGTCATGCGATGGGCTCCCTACAATTAACGTGGCTGCTTTGCAGGCTGAATTGGTACATTTATAAATATGTGTATGTACGAATAATTTATATACCCTTCTAATTCTAGTGGGTACGAATTTAATATGAACATGGAATAACAAATGTGCTCGTAACAGAAGCCTATCATCAAGGACACGTTCAAAAAGATCAGTTGCGCGGCATATTGACAAGAGGCCTATAGTCCAAAGCAAAGAAAGAGCCCGTCAAACCCGCCCGGAATGCCCCATAGTATCTCATGCCGGACCGCGTTCGTTCTGACGTAAGGCAATGAAAGGCCATGGTTGGGCTTGGGAAGAGGAGGGGTGTCGTC